GGAGCCATTCAGCAGGAAAAGTGATGGCAACATTCTTCAGGGACTGGCGGGGGGTTATCCATGTAGACTTTCTGACAGATGCCAGAACAGTCAATGCAGCTTATTACTCAGACCTCCTGGCAACAGACATGAAGGAAAAGTTCGGATCCAAGCGGAAGACAGGTGGAAAGCGGGTAACCTACCTTCAAGACAATGCAGGCCCCCATATGGCCAAAACAATGGAAACCCTCCGGAAACTGAAATGGAACCTTCTGACACATCCACCGTACAGTCCCGATTTGGCCCCAAGTGACTTCTACCTGTTCGGAAGGCTAAAATCAGACTTGCAAGGCATGCGGTTTGTGGACAACAACGCCGTCATCCAGACTGTTCGGAAGTGGATATGCCTCCAACCACAAGCCTTTTTTGAAAAGAGCATCAGGATGCTTCCAGAACGTTGGAAGAAATGTGTTGACTCCGGAGGGGAGTACGTTGAAGACTGACATGTGCAAGTAAGTGTTTGGCAATTATGTTTTTTTTTTTATATATCAGTCCTGGTCATATATGAACCACCTTGTATTTACTGTGTGAGAAACTCTGGGTCACATAGAATACAGAGTTATCAGCATACCAGTGAACTCCACAGATATTCAGTAGAGTAAAATTTAATCCTTGTATTTTCCATGCAGTCAGTCTGTTTAAAGTTATTGTGCTGATAGGTACACCTGCAGGGTATGTCATACCTTGGGTAGGTTCCTTATGAAAGAGAAGTCCTGTGCGCTTAAGTTTGAATTTTCTGCCAATGTATGAGTATGGTATGTGGTAGCATAGTTGGTTGAGGCACTATGCCACAAGCTGGAAGGTCACAGGTTCGAATCCCGATGAGGTGGATTTTTTCAATTTACCAAATCCTTCCAGCCACACTATGGCCATCAGGTTAACTTAGCCTCTAACCAGGAATCTTCCTTGAGGGTAAAGGGCGGCTAGCACATAAGGCTGACAACCTTACCGCCATCTGTTAACTGATTGTCTAGATAAAATGTGGGCGCCTCAACGTCTAACAACCCTATGGGCCTTCATGGCCTGTTACAGGGATAGTTTTGCCTTTTTTTTTACCTCGCCAGTGTATGAATACCAGAAGTATGTTGAAATTAGAATCTTATAACATTCAAATGACAGTGTAACAGTTTGCTTCACTAACTGATTGTGGCTCACATTTATTCCCAGACTAGATGGGATATATTTGCTGAATGGCATTAGGACCAAGATGATGCGAGGTCAACCATCTGGCAGTAACAAACTTTTTTCTTTCTAATAGTGAAGCAAATGCCAGTACTATACCAACAGATATACAAACATACCTCATGCTATCCAAATATTCCTTTCTATCTGTTATGAAGAATGTTTGTATTACCATTAAAGCACAATACATACCAGTTTCTCCCCTTTATGCTTCATATGAAGTGTGTGTGAGTAATGCTTCTGAGTTCTTTGAAATACTCATGAAGCTCTGATTTCTACCTGCTTTATGCGATTTCTTGCTTGACTTACTCTTAGACCCTGAAAATGGAGGCAACATTTACTCTGAAATTTCAGTTTACTTTGAGCAGACTGCATGGCATTATAATCCAGAAGGTAGACCTCCTCATTTGAAAATATTATATATGTGCATCCTGTTGCATTGGTGTGTCAGTCAATCACCTCTGTCTTTAATGCAACTTAAAGCTGTTCACAGTCTCCCTTTAATTTAAAATAACATTAAAATCACATAAATTGCTGCATTTTTTGACCTTACTTGGCCATCTTTAGGCAATTGTATGCTTTCAGAAAATGTGCACTGCACTAGATCATGAGTCAATATATTTTCAAGCTGTTGCATATCGTTGTTCATACTAAAATATGTTTGTTTGAGAATAAAACACTCTCTCCATTCCACGCTGTTTTCCTTTTTTTGGCTTCTGTGTCCTTGCTCCCTTCATATATATGTTCTCACTAGTCAGGAAACAGCATGGAAATATATTAACTTACAATCTAGTGCAATGAAATGGTTTCAACAAGTGAACAGTTGCCTTAAGATTGCCAAGTAAGGCCGAAACATGTAGCAGTTGATGCGATTTCGATGTTATTTTAAATTAAACGGAGATTGTCAACAGTTTTATGTTGAATTAAAGACAGAGGTTAGTGGGTGGCTCTTCATTTTGAAAGTGTGATACATTAGTATAAATGTCCAGTGAGATCAAAATGTTTATCATGTTTCAGAACGTGACAGGATCCAAGCATGGAGGTGCTATTTCATCTTTCATTAGTTGGGTTGCATCAGGTTCAGCTCATGCAGTGTCTTTACTTCCACGAGCTTCCAGCCCTGAGAGTCCTTGGTTTGCATATTTTGTGCTTGAAATGGAGCAAGAATTAATTGAAGAGAGAACAGGACTCTGGAGGGAAGTTCTCCGGGAGTTGGCAGTTGCAAGTGGGAAAGCAAATGTTGATCAAGCAGTCAAGGTAAACAAATGGTATAATGTGAATGAAGCACTTAATATAAACAACACCATCTGTAACCACTTATACCCTTGAGGTCAGTTTTCTTTTGACAGCAGTGCCACTGTTTATTCACTGCTCTTACCTCCTCATTTGTCTTACCTGCTCTGCACTGAATTGAGAACTGGGGGGAAAAAAACTGACAACTCAGTTATTACTAACTAGCTGAATCACTGAGCTCTGCACTGCATTGAATGTCAGTCTGTACTCCATTGCACTGCACTGAACTGACCTGAACTGAACCAAACTGAAGTCAGAAAAACACTTCATTTCCTTCTGTCACCCCTCCCTTCACACATACATCACCCCTAGGCCGACATCTAGAATATTCACAGGTGACTTAAGTATTCTTTATTAGCCAATTGGTTTCCCAAACATTCCAGATACAAGAAGAAGCATTCACAGCCCAGGTGACACAATCCCACAATACTTTGTCCCTATGATGGTATATACAGTTCTTACAAGTAGCCGTGAAAGGCTGAGACTGGATGATTTAAACTGGTGAAATGCTGCAGTCATCTGTGCTTAAACTTAACTGTTTGCAGATTTTGGTGCTATAAATTAATTTGGTGAGTTCTAGAACTTTATGAGAAGAGTTATTACTCCAGCCACCAATGGAAGACATGTTAAGTGCCACATTTAGAAAAAAGGTAAAGCTATCCCTGTAACAGGCCATGGAGGACCATAGGACTCTCAGACATTAAGGCTTCCGTATTTTCTGAACAATCAGTTCACAGATATGAGTGAGGTCAGCCCTGTATGCTGGCCGCCATTTATGCCCAGGAGGATTCCCAATACTCACTTTCTGTTAGAGGCTGAGTCGATCCCAGGACCATAGTGCAGCTGGAAGGATTGGTCAATTGAAAAATTGAGTGACCACATCAGAAATCGAACGTGTGACCTTCCAGCTTGTAGCATAGTGCCTCAACCATCTGCGCTATCACGTGACCTCCGTTAATTGCCCCATTTGCTAGTTATAATAATCATTTTACATTTCTCTGTATAGAAAGCAGTTCATAATTTGAAAATCCCAACGTTATCAGCAGCCAGCCTTTCTATCTACCGATGGTCACAGCAAGCTTTGGACACTCCACTTGATCATCCACTTCTTCCTCTTCTGTGGCAGAAATTCTTCACTCTTTTTCTAGCAAGAGTACCATCAGCATCAGGGTAATTATCCAGTATATTTATTTATTTATTTATTTATTTATTACTTTAATACAGTAAACAGAAAATGTTCCACTCAACAAAATATTTTTCATCTTAGTTCCAGCTCCATATGCAAACTAACCAATACATGACATTTGATATTTTCACAGCAGTAGATATTCATGTTGTGACCTTCTGGTTTATGACTCCATGTAATATGGTAAGTGGACCTGTTTACAAGACTATAAGTTTTCATAACTCAGAAGGTCACAAATTTCTTTAGTTCACCTTTTTCTTAATATATAATGATGTTGTAATGGTTGTGTGTGAATTTATGGTAACAGAACACTGATCTGGTTGCAGGTACAGATGTGGCAAAATACATCCAACCTTCATTACTGTTACAAATAAAAATGTGGGTTGGAAAGCCAGTGGAGGTACAGGGAGGGAGGGAAATCCAAGTGAGAGCA